AACAACTACACAACACCACATGAACACCCACACAACACCACATGAACAACCACACAACACCACATAAACAACCACACAACACCACATGAACAACCCAACCACACCACACCACATGAACACCCACACAACACCACATGAACAACTACACAACACCACATGAACACCCATACAACACCACATGAACACCCACACAACACCACATGAACAACCACACAACACCACATGACACGCTTGACTGCTGCATGCAATAACAGGGAAAACTCAAGGAGATCAACGATGAAGATGGCTCCATAGCGACGAAAGACAACCAACGTGACAACAAACGGTTCTTTCGCGGATTGAAAGAGTATGTTTCTCAGGCCACGATGCTATTGTGCTGTTGTGTAGTTGTAACTTATATCAAAGTATGGTTCAAGGAGGCTTGGCTTCTACACGCCAGCACGGGACGGGTTGTTATTACGTGATATGATGCAGAGTCTGCCATGTGCATGAGCTCATAACGGACACTCGTTCGGTGGATGCCAATGCTCTTTGCCAGCGATAGTGTAATGGTGCAAGGGTGGACATTAGATATCGCAATCATCCATGGCTGTCAGAAAGCACTGGCAATGTTTCCAAATTAGGGGCATTGACAGTTGACACTTGGCACTTGATACTTGACACTTGAAATTTGACACGTTAATCCTTGGCACGTGCTAATTGCCCCTTGACATTAGGCACTTGACGTTTGGCACTTCCCAGTCGATATTTGGCATTTGACACTTTCCACTTGCCACTTGAGAATTGACACTTGACATCTGACACTTTTTACATGACATCTGGTCATGTCCGGTCGTAGGGTGTTGGAGGGCTTTGACAAGCGCGTGGCCAAGTGCAGAGAGTTCAATGACATCGCCAACAAACTCACTGACCAGATCACCTCCCAGCTGTCCGTCGAGTGCGACTATCTATTCGAGGTGGGCTGTTTGTGCTGTTGGTGTTATTTGTTGTTTGTGTTGTTTGTGCTGTTTGTATTGTGTGTTGTTTGTGTTTGTGTTGTTTGTGTTGTTTGTGTTTGTGTTGTTTGTGCTGTTTGTGCTGTTTTTATTGTTTGTTGTTTGTTGTTTGTGAGCCGATGACCTTCGTTGCGAAACGGCCCTGTCGTTTGGGTCCGATTGTTTTTTTTTCAAGAGATTGCGGCCCTAATTTGCCCCTGTCTGCCCTAAACACTGTTAGAGGGGGACTAGTCTCTTTATAACGGGGGCTCATGTACGGAATCTCCTATTTTCCACGGCATTTCGCCGGTGTGGCATATCTATTTATTTACTCCCCATCCGTCTATGATCCACCCTCCCACTCACACATTGCCATTCTCCGATCTCGCACTGCCCCTACTATCTCCATCGTGCCTTACATCCCATCGCACTCAGTAGCTCGGTTGACGACACTCTATGACTCACTATTACATGGACGGTCCACTCACACGCATAGACACAGGTGCTCGACTGCTAGTACACTCTATGACTCACTATTACATCGACGGTCCACTCACATGCATATACACAGGTGCTCGACTGCTTCTACACTCTCGTCAAGCTACTGCAGAACAAGATCTGGTACTACTCAACACTTGCGCTGGAAGATATCCTGAACGGCCTGTTCAGGAACCCCTCGTACCTAAAGCTACTGAAGTGCTTGGACACAACAGGGTGTGTGGGTGTGTTGGGGTTTCATGCACTTACAGCTACTGAAGTGCTTGGACACAACAGGGTGTGTGGGTGTGTAGGGGTTTCATGCACTATCTCCTGCCTACAAGTGTTGTCGCAACTGTGATGGTTGATTGTGCTTCCTATCGGCGTGATGCCCATTCGTGAGTGAGTGCCAATACCAGCATTAACGTTATGGCTGTGGTTAATGCATGTTGTGTTTCTTAGTTCATGATATAGTTCATGTACGTTGTGTTTCTCAGTTAATGATAGGATTCTCCAGGTGGCTCGGTTTTACTAGCGGCTGGACTACGCCACGCGTATGCGACAAAGCCTCCGGTACAGTCTGGTAGCTCAAAACGTCATGCAGTTGTAGTTGTTGCCTTAAAGACACATACCTATCTCCTAACCTCCTGTGTTTACATTTTCTTCTCTAGAACACTCTCGTTGCATATGTTATGGTATGGTGTACAGATACAATTCGATGGTTGCTATCAAATGGGTGGTGTTGTTGCCTTAAAGACACATACCTACCTCATAACCTCACGTATTTACATTTTCTCCTCTAAAACACTGTCGTCACATATGTAATGGTATGGTGTACAGATACAATGCGATGGTTGCTATTAAATGGGCGGTGTTAATGCCTTAAAGACACATACCTACCTCCTAACCTCATGTGTTTACATTTTCTCCCCCAAAACACTCTCGTTGTATATGTAATGGTATGGTGTACAGATACAATGCGATGGTTGCTATTAAATGGGTGGTACCTTTGTGCTTGTGGTATGGCCAATGGCTCAAACAATTCGACGGCAAAGTATCGGTGAGTCCTTCTGTCCCTTAACGATGCGATGTGGACTCATGTATACTTATATATACCTGTAGTAATAAATATTGCATATACATACGAGCACACACACACACACGGACGCACACACACATTCACACACACACACACACACACACACACACACGACACACACACACACACAC